CCGCGCGGGTGAACGAGTAAAAAACCCTGCGTCTCTACAGCGCCTCTCAGGTTTGGACACTCTACACGTTTTTTTAATCGTTCACCCGCGCGATTATTTTGAATAGACAATAATCCGGGAAACCTGAGAATTCAAAAATTGTTTTACATCTTCCAGGGAGACGATGAGACCAATCAAACGCTGCTCACCCGTCTCAACGCCTCGGGACGCATTCATATGGTGCCCGCGTCGCTTGGCGATCGTTTTGTGATTCGATTCTGTGTGTGCGCCGAGAATGCGACTGATAAGGACATCGAGGTCGCCTATGAGATAATTTCACAAGCTGCCCAACATGTTTTGCGTATGTTTCAACGAAAAACGATCTTTAATGAACAAGTATGTTCAGACGATAGCGTAAAAGCAGTGATCGCCGAGGAGGACGAGGAAGCCGTGGCTTTGGAGGAGATGGTAGCTGATCTCAATATTCAGGAGACACCGGACAAAGGGCTTGCTCGTCAGAATTCTGCAGATGCGGTCGGACAACGATTGGAACGACAGCTGTCGAAAGAGGAGATTCTGGCGCAGAAGCAGCACGAAAGTCTCGCCAAGAAGAGGTACCTTCCAGAACCTCTAGAACTGTCACGTGCATCCGACACACCGGATGGACCCTGCTCACCGGAGATTTTGGTTTCGTAATGTGATTTGTGTACAAACTTATTCTTTTTGGTTGTTTTCTTCTCCACTCACTCTAACCCCCCGCATGAAATCTCATCTATTTAACTTTTTATTGCCTGTGATATGCCTGGATTTTTTGTTGTTGAATGAATCGGTCGCACTGACTAAAAACCAACGCTTTTGTGTCTCTAGATCCTTCCTAGTCCGAATGGTTTCGGACCCGAAGTGCTACAATCCAAAGATTGTGCGTCATCTCAACATGGCAAATCATCGCAAAATGAGTCAGGATTTGTACCGGGATAGAACTCTAATGTATGAGGTTTTGAACAATTACTTCTGATTTTTTATATATTACAGGCAAACAATCTCGCACTCTCAACGCCCAAACCGTCTCTCCCAATCGCCGGGATCCGCTGGCTCCGCGTTCTTCGATGACGATGAAGACAGAGTCGTGGCTGATGTTCAGACCGGATTGCAGACTCCGATTTGAGAAAGAATAAAACAATCTTTAATAATTATAAAAAAAGCAAACATAGTGGATTTTGTAGTTGGGATATAATAATACTATAACTATTATAAACACTAATAAAGGATGCAATACATAAAAAATTTAAAAAGCGAATCTAGCTTGATTGGACATTCTACTAAACTCCTTCTCCATCTCCTTCTCTCCTTCCTCATCCATATCAACCATCGGTTTCACTGCTCCCTTCTTTCGCCGTGGACTAAATTCGAATTGAGCGTTGAAGTGCATAGTTCGGGAACCGAAGTCTCTGGGATCAAGGGACGTTATCATCGATCCTCCTAGAGATTCGTTACAAGTAAAATCGGGATTCGCGATGAAAAATGAGGATTGTATGGGAGCCATCTCTACTTCAGCTTCTTTTCTTATAGAACTTGGAGCAGTTATGACGTCATCACTTCTGAAGACGTCTGTACTGAGGGGCGAAGAGCGATGAAGCGGTGGTGGCATTCGGGTCTTCTTTCTGCTCATCCAATCCTCATCGATTACAACATCCACGTCGTAAAGCCGTGGGATGGCAAACAGCGACTGATCGATCTGCAGTGTAGAAGCATTTTGAGGGTGCTGAATCTTGGAGATGTCCCGGAGAATCGACGTTTTTTGAAGAGCATCTGAGACCGCTTCTGGAGATTTCTGACGCGGTGTACGCTCCCAAGAGCCTGTCATATCTTGAAGACGGGACTGTGGGCGGAATGATTCTTTGGCCGCCGGTTTTTCCTGAAAAAAGACAGTATTTGGAAAAAACAACTAGATTTTTGATCCTACCAAATTCTTCATACTCCTCTCCAAAAGCATCATCGCCACTTGCGAGTAGCTATTCTTGGCGTCGTCTCTCAATGGAAGACGTTGGATTGCCGATCCAACACGATCGAGTACAGCGGCACCGCGTCTGAAAAATCATATTTATGAAGAAGTTTCATCTTTTGAGTTTGGAACTCACTCATCACACATAAAAGGGACTCCTCGTTTCCAATCAATCTCGTCTTCTGGGTCCGAGTCTTTGATGTACTTGCCAGGCGTTGGGGTGCTCTTCTTGCTTCCACATGATGGTGGACGGTCTTCTGGAGTGTTGGGTCTTTTATTTGATGCTCTGGAAGCTTCGGACGCTTTTGAGACTCTAGAATTGCTTGATCGATTACCGACGTCGTCTTCATTGCTAGAAGAACCTCGTTCCTCTTCCACGTGGCGATGATGACGTCGGATTTTCCTAGATGGACGTTCTTCCTCATCTACTCCATATCGACTCCGTTTCATCTGTTTTTTTGGAGGCGGCTCAAAGACCTCCTCCTCATCAGAATCGTATCCACCGTCTTCTTCATCTTCTTCGAATTCGACTCTTCTATCGCCTCTGGAATATCTAGAACTCGGACGAGGATGATGACGTGACGACATGGAATAAGTTGCAGAATGATGATGTGAAGAAGAGGGACGTTGGTTTCTTGGGGCCCTCACGTCTTCATAATCATCGTAGATCGGCTCTCTAACTCGAAAGTAATCCGGTACACCCTGATCGTAGACCGCCTGTCTTATAGAATCCCTTAGTTGATAATTCGACGGCGCGTTCAGACTGAATTGCTCGCTACGTCGACTTTTTCGAACCATCCGACGAATGACGTCTTCTGTGTGGCGCACTCGCTCCTCATCGATTTCGGGTGGAGGTGCCGAGTATTTTGCATTCAGGAACATTCCTCTACGTGGAATCGGACGGCCTTTATCGTTGAGTAAAACGTCAGGCTCTCTGGCACCATATCGGGGAGGATGGGCCGGGTGAATCGGCGGTGGTGGAGGTTTCCAGTAGCCCGAAGAATAGCCTCAAAAACATTTTCAATTGAATATATAGAAAATTCCAAATGAAAGAAAAACATTTACATCGTGGTGGAGATCGATAGTGAGGTTGTAGACGACTTTCAAAGGGTCTGAAGCTGTTTCCTCTTCGAATCGGCATCAAATCGGATCCTCTGTCAGAAATTACTTGAGCTTCTTCTGGAGGTGGTTGCTGCTGATATCTGCTCATAATGCCTTGCATATTCGTGCGATTGGCTCCACCGGCAGAGAGCCTGGGTTTCCAGTTAATACCGCGGCGTTTCATTGGAAAACGAGTTGAAAGTGCTGAAAATGGTTCGAGAATTACTATCACGGTGTTTGCAGAGCTGCAAACACCAAAGTTTACGAGCAACTAGCTAGAAAATCTGGAAAAACAAGATTTTTCCACTGATTTCGAACTGTTTCAGCATGAAATGTGTTTTAACTTGATTCCTAATTCAAAAAATACTACCTGTTCTTTATGGGAATCTCTCAAAACCTTAAAAATTGCACTCCTAAAAAATATATTTCAAACTCCCGCTACTTGTGTTCACACACTATTAATGCACAGTGTAGATTTACGGGAATCGCCATACTCTACGCGCATTCTTTATCAACTTTATCTCTTTCCTGTTTTTATGCCGAACATTCCTAGATGAAAATTCCGGATTTAACCAATTATGAGCATTTAATCGGTGGATTTTGTGGTGGTGTCACCAGCACAGTTGTCTGCCACCCGTTTGACTTGCTGAAAGTTCGCTTTTCAGGTATTTTCTTGCATCAGATCTTCATTTAAATTTTGATAATTCGTTTTTTTCTAGCCAACGAAGGAAATCCACTGCGACCTCAATACTCCAGCTATGCAGATGCAGTCCGAAAAATCATACGAGTCGAAGGAGTGCGTGGGCTGTATCAAGGAATCACTCCGAGCGTCATTGGCGCCGCCGTCTCGTGGGGTCTCTATTTTCAGTGGTACAACACTTTGAGAGCAAAAATCAATGAGGAATTCTCGACGGGCAGTGAAATGGTGAACAATTTTATCAGTGGATCAGTAGTGGGCTCGGCGATCATGTGCATTACCAACCCGATTTGGCTCACGAAGACAAGGTTTTGAAAAATTCCGAATTAAAAAATTTCAAAACAAAAGATTCAGGTTATGCCTTCAATATGAAAATCATCAAACCAAAAAGTATTCTGGAATGATCGACTGCATGCGACAAACTGTTCAACAAGAAGGCTTCTTTGGGTTGTACCGTGGATTTGTTACCGGAGTGATTGGCACCTCCCACGGCGCTGTTCAAATCGCCTCGTATAGTTGGATGCTGGACAAAAGACGAGAGGCACTGGGTCTTCCTAAAGATTCGTTCATTGTAAGCCTTAAAAATTCCGATTTCTTCACTCAACTTCACATTTTTCCAGAGCCAAACCGACTACACTGTGGCATCTGCAATTTCTAAAACTCTCGCCACTACAGTAACCTTCCCATACCAAGTGCTCCGTACCCGAATGCAAGACCATAATACTGACTCGCGAGGAGTTTGGAGAACAACACTGCGAACGATCCATAACGAAGGCTTTAGCGGTCTTTGGAAAGGATGTGTCATCGCGAACGTCAGACAGCTTCCAGCAGCGATTGTCGTGTTTTTGACATATGAGAATGTAAAGCGGCTGGTTAGAATGACTGAGAAGCAGTAGAAAGTTACCTAGTAGATATGTTCAGATTTTTTCAAATAGGATATCATGTTTTAGTTGTTTTTTTGCCTTTGATTGTTACTGGATTCGGGTCTAAATCATCCTTTTTTGTATTTATATTTAAAAATAACAAACAATTTCTGTTAACAAATCTTCTACTCTAATAAAAAAGTTAATTCTGATTCTCCTGCTTGCTAGAAGCATAAGCATCGAGAAGAGACGGAAGGTGTCGGGTGGCTGTGTCCAACGAGATGGTGATTTGAGCCACTTGTTGCCCGAGAATCTGTACAGTATGCGCTCGAAGATCTTCAAGGGAGGAGAGTTTGGCCAGGTCACGAGCTTGAACCATATCCACTATTCTTCCATCAGCCATCATTACAAGGGGTTCGACCCAATTCAACTTGTCGGTTTCTTGAAGGATAGTCTTGATTGCAGAGATATCTTTGGCAAGGAGAATAGCGTTGGAGCCGACGAGAACGTTGTTGAGCGATGACATGGGAGTTTCTGGAAATAAGAATCATCTAGAATAATTTGGTAGAAAACCTCACTTTCAAAGACTTTCTTCAAAATCTTGTTTCCATAGCTTCGAAACTCGATATTCTTGGACCTCAGCTGGTTCTTTGCGAACCACAGCGTTCTACCGGGAACTGGCGAGAATTGGCACACTGCCAACACACGAAACTCCTCCTTTACCATCCAGCTGCGTACTAGATTCGCCAGAGCTAGTTCTACATCGGAATACTGGAAGATTAAATGGTTTACTTCGATTTTTGAGCAGGATACTCACTTCTTTAGATTTTTCAGTGTGCTGTCGCTTGACTAGGCCTGGTGGCATGCACATGGCGACTGTTGGTGGAAGCTCTGGTTGAAGTGCCGCCTCGAATAATCGTCGTCTGAAAAAAACATTATTTCTAAAATAGAAAAAAGGGTGAGAATCTCACTTGAAATGTCTGGGAGTTGGACGCGGATACTTTGACGATACCGCTCGCACCTGCACACTGCCAAGTGGTTTTAATGATAGGTTTAACATTCTGGAAAAAAATTAAGTTAGAAAATCTCAGAAAATTGGGTGAAATATGCGAGAATTCAGTGAAAGAAATCTGAAAAAGAAAAATAGGCAGCGAAAGTTGTCCGAGAGGAGTGCACGAAGTGATCTGCAGAGCGCACTTGCAGAGTTTTTTGCGCGGTTTTTCAAAACTTGATTCGTGGTTCTGTAACGAATTTCCAACATAAAGACAAAATGCGAAGCCTTTTACAAAATCTTATCAATATATCAATTTTAATTAGATTCTGTATTGCACACTATTGTTCTGATAACTGGGAGCTCTTATATAAAGAGAATGTGCCAGTTTGTTGGACGGTAAGAACTGAAAACTAGAAAATAGCAATTTAAAAAATTTTAGCTGTTGAAAACAGCGGATTTCAAAGCTGATCATAAGACGAATTCGAAAATCTGCGAATCACTTATTGGTGGAGAAGCCGCAGTGGTTCGCAATTCAGCTCAACGCGCCGTTCTTTCGGGTTAATAGAAGATTCTATTTAGAATTTCAATTTGTTAAATTTTGAAAATTCAGATTTAGTAAATCGTCTCCCTTATCCAACGCTGACTTGCTACAAATCTTCTCACACAGAAAATTTGAAATTTAAAAGCGTGGATTATGAAGAGGTCCCTGAATATTTGAGAATTCTGAATGAGAATGGGACGGTGAAATTGAGTCGGGGGATTCAGAAGAATGATCGGATAACGATTAGTTTTTCAATAAAAGGGTAAGTTGAAGGAATAAAAAATTTTTGAGCCACAAGGGGGATCGAACTTGTGACCAAACTCACTCGGTAGCGCGAGGAACGGGCGCTACCAACTGAGCTACGACCTCAAAAGCTTCTTGTATTTAGTCATAATCACCTACGAATTCAGAAAAAAGCCTGAAAACGGTCGGGGACTCGATTCAACACTTTATGGATTCATCAAAATCGGAAATTCCACAAATCACACCGTCACAATGGACTGCTTCATACCACACACGTCTCCGCAATGTAAAATCACAGGTCTGAAGGGCGAAAAAAAAGAAATTATCTTTGCAAGGAGCGAAATGAAGTCACAAGTGACAGTGGAATATTTCGGAACCGCCACTTTTGAGTGAGTCGAAAGCCAATAATTCGAGAGTGGGCGGAGCTTAGGCCCGGTTTTGAATGCACATTTAAAGGAACGTTTATTGCTGTAATTTTTAGGCCTATTTTTTCGATTTTCAAAAAAAAGTTCAAGACAAAAAACTTTTGCGCGGGTAGTGTGATGCATCATGATGTGGCTGGTCTGCAAACACACTGCACACTTCCTCCTCTACAGTAACCCTGTCGATATTCTGTGAATTTTACATTAAATATTTTGCACCTAATACTTGAAAAAAAGCATTGTTTTATGCGATTGTTGTGTGGTCAAAATTCATAGAAAATCGCAAGAATGGGCCAGAAATTAGGGATGCAGGACCTAAGCTCCGCCCATTCCCGAATTTTTGACCAGAATAAAATCGATTTTTAGCTTCCTTGACGAGAAGATCAAGGTTTTTGAACGCTACAACGATGAAAAATCTTCAATATCCTCCACAGGCAATCCGTATATCGGAAATGACCTAATTTCCGTAGAAAATATAGTCGTGAGCAATGTGGAGCACTCGAAACATTGCATTGGGATGACGGATTACGGTTTTGAGACTATAAAACTGGAACCGGAGGCAATGCCAAAACTCCATTTTAATTCTGAAAATATTGAAGCGCCGAGAAGGTCTCTGGGGTCAAACTACACATATTTAGTTTCTGATTCTTTTTGGGATTATTATAATGGTCTTGACCTAGTTTTTGATATTCGAATGTCTCAAGACAAGAACGGTACTGATTTTAAGTGAGTTCTCAGATCGGAGTTTTTAGATTTTAGAGATTTCTTCAGATGGGTTGCTATTGACTTCTGGAGTCACTATTTAAATGAATCGATTTTTCAACTCAATCTGAACGAAGATCTTCTCGCCTTGACCTATATTTATGAAAATGGAACAACAACAATGGAGCCATATCATCAGATTACTAGCAAAAAAGTTGTTTTGCATCGTCTTGTGGACTTTCGATTTACAATCTCATCTGATACGTCGAACTATGTAAAAATCGAGACTGTCATCAAAAACACCAACATCGCTGGTCAGAAATTCCAGGCAAACCATTCTATGCCTATTCGAAATTTCGACGAGATCCGGCTCCGTTCCGACGTTGGAATCTTCTACGACGTCAAGATGAAGTCATTACGAGATGTTGAAATTGCTACGTGCAACTTTAGGAATTTGGGATTGGACAGGTTCCAGAAATCGGTGCCACATAGGTCGAATTGCATCACAAAGCGAAATATTTTGTGCCAGAGGAACAGCGAAAATATTATCCAGGACGTCGATATTCCAGATGAGCCTGTAGAGAAGTTTGTGTGGAAGGAAGATGTTGACGCTCCAGTTACAACGAAGAAACCAGAAAAAGAAGAACTTGTAGAAGAGAAAGAGGAAGAAGATGAGGAGATCGAGATTGAAAATCTAGGCAAGTTAAAATTTTTTTCTTTTTCGAACTTTTTGGACGTTTCAGAAGGATTTCAATGGAGTATCATCGCGATGACTTCCCTCTGCCACGTCAGTCGCTGCGATTTTTGTTTTGAACTTGATTCGCTGGTTCTTATAAAAGTGTTTTTCATTGAAACATCAAAACTTAACAATAACAGTGAACACAACGAGGCAAAAGAGTAAAAGTGATGAGATAACAATAAAAGGGCTTTACATTTCCATAGATTCTCCGAGCATGTTTCCAATGGAATCAGACAACTTATCAGCTCTGTTTGACGTCTTCTTCGTCTTCTTTTTCTGCTTCTTGATGGCATTCTTGATCAGTTTGTTGAGCTGTACGTTTCCTTCAATTGCAAGACTCTCTGGGAGCACTGGTTTGTCGTCGTCTTTGGTTGGTCCCTTCACTTTTCGTCCACTCGTCACAGTCTGTTTCTTTTCCTCTGTCTCCATCCCCTCATCCTCTTCTTCTTCCTCATCTTCAGAATTTTGTGGAGCAATAATGTCGCTTTCCATTGGAAGTCCCTCGATGATCTGGTTCTGGTCATCAGCGATGGCATCGATATCGAACTCTTTGCTGAACTGAGTGACGACTTCCACCGGGACGCTTGTGTCGTCTTTGACAGATCCGGCCTCTGGTGGATGGGTGTAATATCTGAGCTTTCCGGTGTTCCAGTCATTTAGTACTCGTTTGGCAGCGGCATTCAGATCTGGACGAGCACCTCGACGAAGTTTTCCGATTCGGCGAGCGAGTTGGGCGAGGAATTGATCCACAGAGTTGAAGTCAGCAAGGTTGTAATGAAGCATGAGCTAAAAATAACGATTTTAAGATATTTCGAGGGTTTGACCTGATTCTTACTGTCTCTTTGCTGCAACGACGGAGAATAGCGTGAACTGGAGCAATGGGGTCCAACAGGTTATCAACACGGATAGCGTTTTTGAGTGCGACTTCAATTGGGTCTAACTCTTTCTGGCTGACAAGAATAACTCCTGGGGAATCGATGAGACGAATGTTTTTGTCCAATTCAACTTCTTGAAGTTCCCTGAAACAAAATAATGTAATAACGCTAGTCAAGTTGATAACATACTTTGTGATTCCTGGAAGATTTCCAACGTTGCACGCCTTTCTTCTCTTCAGACTGTTGATCACACTGCTCTTTCCGACATTTGGGAATCCCACAACACCGACACGGATGCTGGTTTTGATGTCTTTATTTCTGCAGTAGTTGGCAAGAATCTTCATAACGATATCAGCTCCAACACATTTCGATGTCTCAGTGTTGTTGAGGATGGCGCTGTTGAAACGGCCAATGTTGGACTTTTGTTCTTGAGTAGAAGCCTTGAAAGCGATGGTCGGGAACTGTCCGCGGAGGTATTCCAACCACTTCTGCACATTCTCACGTGGTACCAAGTCGATTTTATTGAGAAGCAGCACCAGTCTCTTTCCACCCTTCAACACTTGCTCCTCCACCGATTTACTACGACTTCCGAGTGGATCTCTGGCATCGAGAACTTGAATAATAACATCAGCGATTTCAATGGTCTTGCGAACTTCAGAAGCGTAGGCCTTGATGGTTTTGTCGTCAAGAGTGTTGAATTTTTCTTGTTCCGCGGCGTTAGCTGCCTTCTTATCAAATTCAGCTCCTTGTTTGGCTGCCTTGGAAACCATGCTTTCAAAGTTGGCTGGAAGGTTCATCTTTCTTTTCTCAACGCGATGGAGCTTAGCAGCTTCCTTTGCGGCTTCCTGACGAGCTTTGATCTTCTCTCGTTCTTGCTCTGCCTGGACTAGAATCTCTTCCTTGAATGGGCAAGAGTTTGGTACGCTGATTGTCTTCTCCTTCTTGTTATGGGTGCCTATAAAAATTAACACAATGATAATTTGAATATTAAAACCTAAATAACAAAGCTCACCATTTTTCTTGGCCTCCTTTTTCACTTTTCTGTTGTGATCGCGGACTTTCTTCTCGATTTTGTAGCGCTTAGCGCAACTGACACGCTTGCTAGCTTTTTCTTTAAAAAATTAATAATTTTTCAACCTGAATCTGTCATTATAACTCACTGAGACAGTATTTCGCCATTTTTCTCCGGCGTTTGTACCCTGAAAACACAAAAAATCGATAATTGGGACTTTCTATGGGTAAATTAGGTGGTAAATAAGTTTTTCAAATCAAAAAAATGCGAGAAATAGTTAAAAATTATTATTTCAACCTGAAAACTTCAATTTCATTGTGAAAATCTGATAAAAAGGCCTGAAAAAAGAAAAATTGCGACGAAAACTTAAAGGGAGGAGTCTCGCGGCAGGCGGCGGGTCTCGCCACGAAGAGGGTATTTTCAAAGATCTTTCTGGCTCTCACTTGAAATTTACTGCTGAACTTTTGCAAAGCAAATGTTTCAGCTTTTCAGAAGCAGAAAAATTTAATTTTCACTAAATTTGAACCTAGAAGCTCTATTTTATCGATTTTTCACCCTGTGAATCCCTCAATTAACTGTCTTCGTTGATTTCTAGAAAGTTGAAGTTTCCAGAACTTTCAACTTGAAAAGTGAGAAAATCGCTTTTGAAAGGTTCCAAGTTAGCTAATTTTTTGCAGAACTATCTTTTAACATGTTTTGTTCGTTATTTGGTATCGCGATTTACACTGTTCTCCACTTTAGCTTCGTTTAAACCGGAAAATTAACTTTCAGATGGCACCAGCAGTTCCAGCAGCAGCTGCCACCGCCAGGCAATCGGCTTCTGGCCGCGAACGTAACTTCAAGGATAAGGATAAGCCAGAAAGTGTTCGCAACAGGTATTTTGAAATTTCATCGCAGTTTGTAAATATTTCGAATTCGTCAGCAACATTGTCGCTGCCAAAGCTGTCGCTGATGCTGTTCGTACCTCTTTGGGACCACGTGGAATGGATAAAATGATTCAGTCTGGAAACGGAGACGTCACCATCACCAACGACGGAGCCACCATTTTGAATCAAATGAGCGTCATTCATCCAACCGCCAAAATGCTCGTCGAGCTCTCCAAGGCGCAAGATATTGAAGCCGGAGATGGAACTACAACCGTTGTTGTTATGGCTGGAGCTCTTCTCGACGCCGCTCAGAACCTTCTTTCCAAGGGAATCCACCCAACCACAATTTCCGAATCCTTCCAAAGCGCTGCTGCCGAGGCTGAAAAGATTCTCGAAGAGATGAGCTCTCCAGTTGATTTGAAGAATGATGCTCTTCTCAACAAGATGGCCACCACTTCCCTCAACTCAAAAGTTGTCTCACAGCACTCTTGGCTCCTGGCACCAATGGCAGTGAACGCTGTCAAGAAAATCATCAACTCGGAGAACGATTCGAATGTCAACTTGAAAATGATCAAGATTATCAAGAAGATGGGAGATACCGTCGAAGAATCCGAACTCATCGAGGGAGCCCTTATTGATCAGAAGACCATGGGACGTGGAGCTCCAACCAGAATTGAGAAGGCCAAGATTGGGCTTATTCAGTTCCAAATTAGTCCTCCAAAGACTGATGTGAGTTTTGTGAATAAGATTTTTCAATTTCGTGACTATTTCCAGATGGAAAACCAAGTCATCATCACCGATTATGCCCAGATGGATCGTGCATTGAAGGAGGAACGTCAATACCTTTTGGAAATCTGCAAGCAAATTAAGGCTGCTGGCTGCAACGTCCTCCTGATCCAGAAGAGCATCCTCCGTGACGCCGTCAACGAGCTTGCCCTCCACTTCTTGGCCAAGATGAAGATCATGTGCATTAAGGATATCGAGCGTGAGGATATCGAATTCTACTCTAGAATTCTCGGATGTCGTCCAGTCGCTTCTCTTGACCATTTCAATGCCGAATGCTTGGGATACGCTGATCTCGTCGAGGAGGTTCCAACCGGAGGAGACGGAAAGGTTATTAAGGTCACCGGAGTCCAGAATCCAGGTCATGCCGTGTCAATCCTTCTCCGTGGATCCAACAAGCTGGTGCTCGAAGAGGCCGATAGATCTCTCCATGATGCCCTCTGCGTAATCAGATGTTTGGTAAAGAGAAAGGCTCTTCTGCCAGGAGGAGGAGCTCCAGAAATGGAGATCGCTGTGAAACTCCGCAACCTCGCCCAAACTCAACACGGAGCCACACAATACTGCTGGAGAGCTTTCGCCGACGCTCTTGAACTTGTAAGAATTTCAACATTATTGAAGGGGATGTTTCTTAACCCTTGATGCTTTTAGGTCCCATACACCCTTGCCGAGAACGCTGGACTCTCTCCAATCCATACTGTCACCGAGCTGAGAAACAACCACGCCAACGGAAACAGCTCTTACGGAGTCAATGTTCGAAAGGGATATGTCACTGATATGATTGAGGAAGATGTTATGCAGCCACTTCTTGTCACCGCATCCGCTATCAAACAAGCTTCTGAATGCGTTCGGTCGATTCTTAAGATTGATGATATCGTGAGTTTTTTAAATCGTTGATAGCTCCTAAATTACTTAATTGCAGGTTATGGCCGTTCGCTAATCATCCTTATAACCATTCGATCATCATCCGCCTCCCATAATATACCCTCCGCTTCTCTTTTTTTTTCAAAATTTCTTTCTCTGACAAATATTGTTACTTTATGAGTTTGCTTCATCCCAATAAGGTCTCTTAAGATGATGTCAAGTTTTAATATTGCCCATCATGTGTGTTTAAATATCTCCCCCAGCTGCTTTTCTCCCACCGTTTGCACCCTATCCCCGTTTTTGTGCTTTTTTGTTGAGTAAAAGAAATTGTTTTCCTATTTTGCTCTTTTTTTCTCATTGTACTTTATTTCTCATCAATCTATTTTTACAGAAAAAAAGAGCTCCTAAATAGTCTCCAATCACTCCGGTCCGGCGAACTGCGGAACATTTTCATCCTCATTGGTCCACAGACTCCGAGGCTTTCTTTTTTGTGAGACGCAACCTCTTCTGCTTCCTGCCTTGTAGTCCTCACAACACGAGATGAAGTTCTGCAAGAAACTTTTAGAATCGAGAAGCTCCAAAAAATCTAACTCACCTCGAACGGGCACTCTGTATCAGTGCAATTTCTGACCAAATGACTAACATCCAACAGCTGATGATTCTCATGGGTAATTTCTTCTTTCTTGTAAAACGTCTTCACAAAAAATCTCCCCGTCTCCTCCCAAAGCTCCAAAATGATCATCGAGTTGTACTCTGGGTAAACCTCTAGACCAACGGTGTTCTTGAGGACACCAAGAGAGTCCAGGACGCCCATCAGGATCCAGTCTTGCTGAAAGCACTCTTTGAGAAGAAGTCAGAAGCCTCTAACTCACCGTCGAATAAACATTGAATTTCTTTCTCATGGAATACTGCAGAGGTTCTCCTCTAGCAAGCTTCTCCAAATCCTCTTTCATCCAAGTCATTTCCTTCTGTAACGTCGTCATCAAGTATCCAAACTTCACTCGCATCATTCTCGGATCATGATGATTGCCAGTTCCAGTAATGAAGTGTGTCACATTCACATAAATCGCCATCACTTCATCTAGATGTTGTTGGATCAGTTTTGGAGGTGGAATTGAATTTTTGTACTCATTTATATAAGCTTCAATATTCTCAAATGGGTAGATATCGAAGACAGGATGAGTGTAATTTAGACAATTTGCAATGAAGGCTTCATACTTGACCCACTGAAAACGGACATCTGGATTTACAGACAAACAGTTCTAAAACTAACCGGATGAAAAGTCCCATTAAAATCAGGGCATCTCTCCTTGACTAACTCTATCTCGCGTTCGCAACGGTCTTGATTGTAGTTCAATAGCTGAAAAATGTTTTATATGGCCTAGAAATCCAAAACTCGGCCACCTACATGTTCATCATACTCCTCGGTTTGCACTGGCACATGTAAGTGGTGAATTTCATCGTCGAACATTGCAAAGCCTACTGTAGACGCTGTGCTCAGACAACGATTCTTGTTGACCGATCGCCAGTACATCTGAAATTCAGATGACGTGGATTTTTGAATTTCAGAAGTTTTGAATTCAGCTGACGTGTCTTTTCCTGAATTTCAGAAAACTGACCTCCCTAGGATTCATGATCGGGTTCAGGAATCCCGTATCGACGTATCGTTTCTTGAGAAAACGACCCATTAGATACGAATTCTCGAAGCCGGCCTGAAAACTTTCTAGGTTACTGTAGATTACTGTAGATTACTGTACATCAGTCATCTCTCCCAATCCACGTGGAAACTGCGAATGATAGCTGGGATCGGTGATTTTTTCGGTTGGCGCGCGGGCGCCGTGACGGAAGAGCTGAAAGTTTAGAATTTTTGAATTTTAGAATTTTAGAATTTCAGAATTTCAGAACTTCGGGGAATTTTTTAATTTTTGAATTTACAAATTTTAGAAATTCAGATTTTCAGGATTTTAGAATTTCAGAATTTTAGAACTTTAGAATTTTATGAATTCAGAATTTTAGAATTTTAGAATCTCATAATCTCTGAATCTCTGAATCTCAGAATCTCAGAAAAATTCCCAATTTCAAAATTTTCCAGTTACGGAGTTTTTAAATTTCAGAATCTCAAAAGTTATGAAATTTTCGAAATTCGAGCTTTCACAAATTCCGAGGAAAACCTTTCCCGAGAAAAGTGGGCGGAGTCAAAGGGGCGGGGCCTAAATTGCAAGGTGAGCATGGTTTTCCTCATGGCCGTATCCAAATATGCAAATAACTGTGCGGTAAAACCATGAAATTTAGACACTGCCCATTTTTCCCGGGAAATGTTTTCCTAGGGATTAGTGGGGCTTCTGAAAAATGAAATTGGAACTTCTGGATCTTAAAATCTCAGAATCTCAGAACTTCAGAACTTTCGAATTTTTGAATCTTTGAACTTCAGAAATTTGAACGTCTGAGTCTCGGAATCATTGAATTTTTGAATCTTGGAATTTCAGAATTTTCTAAATTTACTTACAACTTGAACCATACGTAGTTGTTTGTCGGATTGCTGCGCTCCGACAGTTGAGAAATGTGAAATTGAAATTAGGATCAAAATCCGTATAATTCCCATTTCTGAAATCTGGTAATATTCAAAAATTGGAGAAAATATTGAAAAAAAGAAGAGATAGGCAAAAATAAATTTTAACAAGAAATTGATGTCAATAAATCAAGAAAAGCGAAAATGGTCCCGTGGAAAAATAGTCAATAAAAATTTTTCAGAGTGATAAGTAGATGAAAAGTTGACAGATGAGAAAAGATGAAGTTTGATAAGAGAATGGACGGATCAGACACAGTTTTCTTGTGCTTTTATTTCATCTTTCCTATTCTCTTTTACCCAGAATTTTTGGCTCTTTATGACAAGGGGGGGGGGGGCCATGAGAAAAGGAGGGGGCCATGAGAATAGGGGGACCTAAGTCAAAAAGGGGGGGGGGGGGAAGTAGAAAAATTATGTATGAGTTGAAATTTACTATTTTTTTTAAGTTTTGTGACTGTTTCCATTTCAATTTCGAACTTGAACATTTTTCATAGTTTTTTGAAAATTTCAGTTTATGTCATTTTTTCACATTTTTTGTCTATTTTTTTGTTACTAAGCCTGAAAAAAATCTAAAACTAGCGGAATCACTTCAAATCACACAGTTTCAATTACCAAAACAGTGTTGTTCATGCAAAAAACCGGCCAAAACTGAAATTTTTCAAAGTGACGAATTTTTGTGGAAACAAGCGCAAAGTACGAAATTTTCACAGAAACATCCGGAAAACTTGAAAAAATTGGTAAATCTTAACTTAGTCCACATTTTTCCACTTGGCCCCCCCCCCCTTGTCATAAAGAGCCGAAAATTCTGGGTAAAAGAGAATAGGAAAGATGAAATAAAAGAACAAGGAAACTGTGTCTGATCCGTCCATTCTCTTATCAAACTTTATCTTTTCTCATCTGTCAACTTTTCATCTTCTTATCACTTTGACCTAGCTACTAACTAGGAAAAAACTGTCCGAATTTGATTGACATTGTCCTTTTTGATAAGATTGAAAAAATTTGGAGCAAAATAGAGCTAAAATGGGCGGTATATGAAGTGAAGAAGGAACCGAAAAGCGACTGGGCGTTTTCTACGCCATAAATTTTAAATTATTTCTGAGAATAAAGTGGTCGAAAACCTCAGAATTATAGATTAGAGTCGGATGGAAAATGTTCCAGACAAGGTTTTTCTTTCTGAAAAAAATATAGAAACGATATTTTTGTTTTTGATTCTGGCTCAAAATTTTTAAATTTGAAAAAAAGAAACAAAATTGGATCTAAAATAGATTTGAATAATACAAAAATGGAGCAAAAACGGAAGACTGACTTCTGGAAATTAGTGATGCAAACTGTAAACTTAGAGCCTGTATATCTCAGTTCCTGTAGAAGATATCAAAAAGTGATCAACTGGTAAAATATTATTGATATTATAATAAATATTTTGTTAGTTGACCACTTATTGATATCTTTTACAGGAAATGAGATATATGAGCTCAAAGTTAAAAGCTAGCGGGGTTGTTCAAGGGTTTACTGTACTTGGATTTTGAGCTCAATTATCTCGGTTCCTGTAAAAGATATCAAAAATGGTCAACTGGAAAAATGATTAACATAATATCAAAAATACTTTGTTAGTTGGGCACTTTTTAATATTTTTCACAGGAATCGAGATCATTGAGCTCGAAGTTGGTAGATTGAAAGACACTCTACAAATTTATAATATCTTTCAAATTTCCTGTTTTCAGAATATCAAGGAGCGAATTAGGTTACTCAAGAAGACTTGCGAATTCCTTGAAGACGTTCTGATTCGTGTAATTGTTGCTGGAGAGCCGGGGATATACACCCTTCATATAAGTTCCATACTCAATTGAATCGATAGCTTTGAATCGTTTCGTTTGGGACAATTTAATCAATATCATCATAATGTTGGAGACAAAAGAAAGCAGAAATAGATCGGAATAATTCAAATGGTAGAATATCTCATTTTGAATAACTCTCGGATACTTGGATAATATCATTTGTTCTGAAAATGATGAAATGAATGTAAAGGAGCAAGAGTGATGAGCAAAACGACAGAATATTGGAATGAATAAGAAAAGAAGGGACATCTTAAGGCATAGAGAGTCCAGATGTGAGTGCTGACCTTGACTGGTTAAACAAATTCAGTCATTTATCCCATAGAGGGGGACCCACGACCGGTTGGAGATGCCTTCTTAGCATTTCTTTTAGAGTTGTCTCAGGTAGGAACACATAAGAGATGTCCGGAATCACTTTTTTGAAAAACGGAATCTCCATCATCGATGGTCGCCTACCCCTGGGAAAGGTCAATAACTTATTGATTTTACCTTTCCGCCCCATATGAACATCTAACATTCCCATTCTCACCCAAAGTCATCGTCTTGTATTTCTTATTGATTTATCAGTTCTGTTCTAATGTCTGAAATCGATTTGTCGAAGACTTCGGAATCTTCTACGGAGAATTCGAAATCAAAATTCAACCCGGCATGTGAGGATATCGAGGGAAAGCTCAGATGTCTCGAAACATTGTTGGAACATCCGGTAAGTGGATAAACTTAAAACTCCACTTAAAAATTTGTTTAGTTATAAAGTTTTTTCAGGAAGCCACTCGTCCAGAACTAGCCATTCCAATCCGTCACCTCGACTTGTTTCTCCGTGCATGTCTTCATTTTTATACCATTCCAAAGTCCAAAGTATGCATTTTTAAAACCGTTTTTTATAATTTCCACAAATTCCAAAATATTCAATCCTCCAAATTTCCCCTTTCCAGAAGATCAAGGAGCGAATTGAATTGATCAAGAAGGCGTGCCAATTCCTCGAAGACGTTCTGATTCGCGTCATCGTTGGTGGAGAGCAACTGGGCAAGGCTATCAAGAGAATCGGTCCATGGTCTGATCCAAAATTTTCATTCAAGGTCGACTGCGAATGCAATGGATTCCCATCGTGCTGCTATATTAAGAATTTGTGATTTTGAAAGAGTTTCCTTTGTTTTGCGGGTTTCGCAGAAATTTTAAAACCTGTGTATTGTCAAGTTTCTCTGTGGTTTCATTGTGACTGGTAATATTGTTCTTAATTTGAGTTCAATAAATGTGTGGTTTTAAAATTTATATTGTCTTCATTGTCTCGAAACGTCTCTGAAAATTTTATGATAATTTGAAATTTAGACTACTGTAGAAAATCAAACTGCACAAAGTTCTTACTAGTTAGACTTACATGTTAGAGAGCTTCTCAAGAATTCTGACCATTGAAAACAAATTATGAATTATGAATGATGGAGGAGCGAAAGAAAAAAGAAAGTGAAACATTATGAAATTTTAGGAAACATTAAGAAATTTCGAAAAACTTAAAAGTCAGGGAATGTTGGGATATTCTGGAAATCTCGGTATTTCTGAACTAAAAGGTTTTTTTAAAAACTTTTTTTTGAATGCTATGTCAAAACATCCCAGCCCGTTTGAAGCAAAAAGTTGTGGATTTATTGGATTATGGGTCCAGGTAAGAAAGTGTGCTCCATTGAGAACTTTTTTTTTCAATAGAGCGCATTTTCAGATGCAACCTTCGAGTTAGCTCGAAAGACGATCGAGACGTTGTGGATTCTACGAAATTTGTTCCAGAAAAACTGAAAATTTCAGAAAAAGAATGTGATATGTCAGAAGCGAAGGTTAGCTTTATACATACTTTTTTGTAAAATTGAAATTTGGTGAATTTTCAGTCAACAATTCGTTTGGAAATCGATTCATTTTCAATTTGGTTGACTGGAAAAGAGAATCTGACAAAAATTGATAGAGGATGGAATGGAGAAATCGTTGAAGAATTGAGTGAAATTAAGAAGGAAAACCGATACGAAAATTTTCAAAAATTATTGCTCAAATTTTCAAAAGAGGTGTAATCGAGACGTATACTGTGGATTTGCATGGAGTAAGTGTACTGTATTTTTGGATTTTTTTTTGAAACTCAATTTCTTCGGATTTTTCTCAGATCACATGTATGCCACCAGAAGAAATAAAATTCAAATGCTCCTCCCTGAAAATCTATGCCATTTTGGATGATTATTCCGCCGACTGGCTTCCATTATTTTTGATTCCCGGTGAATCTTCACTCAGAATACCTACTTAACTTCTCTCAAACATCTTCATATGCTCTCGCTTTTGCTTCTTCTTCACCACATCCCCGGAAGACAAAGTTCACTCATTGAAGTTTTGAATTTTTCCCAAAGAAGTTGAGGATCCCCAACTTCAGTGAAAAGGAGAATAGAAGCAAATGTGGCATGCATCTGTGTAGGCATCTGGAACGATCCACACTCATCCATAGCCTTCTGTAGTTCAGCATCGTCTTTCAGAAGTCCACGTGCTCTAGCGGCCAGGACAAAAGTTGGGTGAACAACAGAATTTCCATTTTCGCCAGGAGCAGTTCGGAGATCTTCAAAAGAAGATGCTCCAGTTATGGCTAAAAGGAGAACACGTAGTGCAAATCTTTCTGGGTCACTCGGAGTCACTGCATAGATCCTTCCGATGACATTATCTCCTCCTCTCCATCGCTCTTTCCAGTTTCCAAGCTCATCTGACCACACAAACTTTGTAGGGAAATTCATGTAGGAGCACTTTCTTGGATCTTCTTTTCCAGAGATTTCCTCTCCATTCGCTTCCATTTCGTTGAAATCTGCATTCATTTTGAAGAATTCCATTATGATAGCTTGGATCCTTTTCTATAGCTTGGATCCTTTTTTCAGAAGTGGCAACAGCTTCTTTCTCTTTTCCCGGAATGAAAATCACACTTTGACGATTGGGTAGATGGATGGGGAGGGCACGAGGCCAGCATGATTGCTAAAAATGAGCTCGAAACAAACTCGGTTTTTCCTTCATCTCCCAATTACTACAAATGTATGTCCCTGTTATATCTCCTAGTTTCATAGACATTTCACGTGTTAGTGGTTTTCTCCTCTTCGTTGAAATAAATAAATAAATAAATAAATAAATAATTAAATAAAACAACAATAGACAAAGTACTCCGAGAAGTAATGGAAAGCGATATTCCATTTGGAGGAAAAATCACTATCCTAGGGGGAGACTTCAGGCAAGTGTTGCTAGTCATCAGAAAAGGAACACGGAAGGATCAGGTCGATGGATGCATCAAGATGACCTTTCTCTGGCAACCTTTTCAAACACTCCACCTCAAGTCCAATATGCGAGTTGTGGGCGGAGATGCGGATTGGGTTCAATTTCTTCTGGAAGTTAAGGATGGACCTGCTAATGACGAAGATGATCGTATCAAGTTGGAAGAGGATCTTTGTACAATTGGAGATCTCATCGAAGAAGTTTTTGGACAGGAAATCAACAAGTTCACGAATCTATCTGAGTCTGCAAACCTGACACCAAAAAATGTAAATGTCGAGAAAATGAACGAAGATGTTCACAACAAAATGGAGGGAGCAGAAAAGGTTAGGATATCTACTCCAGAAATGAGATACCGGATGATACCAACAGAAAAGTCATAATCACAGAATTTCGGAACTCCATCAACACGTCATCACTTCCACCACACAAGCTAAAACTCAAAATTGGTTCCATAGTCATGATGTTGAGGAATCTGGACGTCAGCACTGGACTTTGCAATGGGACAAGGTTGAAGGTCGTGGAACTCGGGAGAAGGATTTTGAAGTGAAAGTTTGTTGTTGAAAGTCGTACTGGGCAAACAGTCTTGATTCCAAGAATCGACTGTTACGACGACAACAACTTGGCTTTCAAACTCCGACGTACTCAGTTCCCCGTACGCCTAGCCTTTGCTCTGTCCATCAACAAAGCACCAGGGCAATCGTTTGTCAGGATTGGGTTGTGGCTGCAGAAGGCGTCTTCACTCATGGGCAGAAGTACGTACTGTCCAGAGTTCGATCAAAGCAAGGTCTTTTCGTCAAATCCATATATTCAGATCAGCTCAATGTAGTTTTTAATGAGGTCCTCTAGATTTTTATGTGTTCCTCCTTCTTTTTCCCATTTTCGGGTGTTTTTTTCTTTTCTGTATCAACATCATGCTCTATTTTTGAAGTGTTTTTTTCTAAACTATAATAAATGCATGAAAAAATTCTCTGATTGTGAGTAGCATTCGAAAAAAAAATATATTAACACAATTTTAAAATTGTAAGGAACCAAAGCGGAAACCAGAATGAAACGGCAGCGATAGCTGCCGCTTTCAGTCTGGTATTATGATAAACAATTCATCAGTTGACAATTTTTTCATATCTTTTTGAGATATATTAGGTCAAAGTTAAAAGTTATAAGCCCTTCTATTTTGGTTTTACGATATTTCATCCACGATATTCTTCGTACGTTGATTCTCGCCGGAGGTGGATACAACGGATCAACAATGAAGGAAGGACCACTCCGAATCCATTTCACCTCCCAACATCTGGAATTGGTCTTCCGCGGACCGTTGGCGAATGGACGAGGATTCTTGGCCTTGAAAACCACGACACCGGAGGCATCGAAGATTTGGAAGGAATGGCAAAAGATTCCGACCTTCAGCCACGTTGAGGACGTCGACCACGGGTTTTTGGCCAAACCAGCTAACGTCTTCAAGAACAGACTGAAACTTGCGGAGGAATACTACCTTGAACCCTCCTTCCGAGTTTGGGTTGAATCAGGATTCGCCGCTACTGCTGAGTACCTGAATTCGGACAAAGGAAGACTGGCTGTATTGGAGGTAGTCGCTGCGATGCAGATGTTCTACAACTTCCTGTTGACTCAACCAGCGTACATGGAAGCTGCTGTCAACGATGTAAATGATGCACATCTTCCGCGGGTTTATGCCGAGATGGTCTGATCCAAAACTTTCATTCAAGGTCGACTGCGAATGCAAACGACTACCATCGTGCTCTTATGTTAAAGGTGGTGTGCGGTGAAAAATTTTATTGCTTCATTTTGTGCAGACATCCATGTAGATTCACATAAAAATAAAGAAAAATTCAAAAAATTCCTTCATTGAGAAAAACGGCATCGAAAAGTCAAAGTTGTATCTGGTGGCCTAGCGGCCAGGTGAGAGTTTTCTAGGCTAACTGCCGGTAAAAGCGCGCGAAATTTGATTTTTTATTGGTTTTCAGTGTTTTCTCTGGCGTTTTTAAAGATTTCAAAGTTTTATTGTTAATTTCCTCCCAGGTGTATGAAAAAACCTGACAAAAATCAGAGAAAACACTGAAAATCAATAAAAATTAAGAATTAAGAATTTGTGAATTTAAGAATTTGTGATCCTGAAAGATTTTTCATTGTATTCTGGGTTTTTGGAAAATTATAAAACCTGTGTTTTGTCAAGTTTCTCTGTGGATTCGTTGTGACTGGTAATGATATTCTTATTTTAATTTGAATTTAATAAAATTGTATTCTGAAAATCTTATTCAACATGAAAACGATTAGAGGTGTGTTTTTCAGACAACAATATTTTTTTATAATGTCTTGCCAAAATATCCCGGTCCGTTGAAGCAAAAAGTTGTCGACTTATTTGATTATGAGTCGAGGTGAGCAAGTGTGCTCCATTGAGAAAAATTTGACATTAGAGCGCGTTTTCAGATGCAACCTTCGAATCACCTCGAAAGACGATCGAGTCGTTGTGGATTCTACGAAACATGTTCCAGAAAAACTAAACATTTCAGAAGCTCCAAGTGATATGTCAGAAGGGAAGGTTAGCTTTTTTCCGATATTTTGTAAGTATCGGGAATTGCGCAAAGAGTGGCTTGGCGCGTGTCTGTTCAGAATTTCAAATGCTGAGCGAAAAGCGTTAACGGCACGCAAAACGCGCCAAGCCAAACTTGGCGCAAGTCTTGACAAATCCTTTTTGCTCGATTTCCAGTCAAAAATTCGTTTGGAAGTCGATTCAATTACAATTTGGTTGACTAGAAAAGACAATCTAACAAAAATTGATAGAGGATGGAATGGAGACATTGTTGAAGAATTGAGTGAAATTAAACAGGAAAGCCGATATGAAATATTCCAAACATCATTACTCAAACTTTCAAATAGATGTGTAATCGAGGCGGATACTGTGGATTTGCATGGGGTAAGTGTACCTTATGGGAAACTAGAAAAATAATTTGTTTGAAAATTAATAATTTCCCTGACATTTTTTTCAGATCACTTGTATGCCGCCAGAAGACCTGAATTTCAAATGTTCCTCCCTAAAAATGTATGCCATTCTGGATGATTTTTCCGCCGACTGGCTGCGAAAAATGCAGCCAAGATTCAAACAATTCAAAAATGTTGCAATTGATTGCTGATTCTGAAATCAGGACGATTCACAATGTTCTAGAAAATTTGAAAACGCTGAAATTGGATTACGATATTGGTATTACGGATGATCAATTGCTGAAAATTGAGGCAATGAATTTGCATTTATTATCCCTGAATATTACTGTGGATGGAGCTAAAAAGAGACTGGAGGTAAGATTTTCAGAATTTTCGGAATTGAAAAATTCAAAGTTCCATATTTTCAGCATTTCTTAAAACTTTTCATCATTTCTTAAAACAATGTTCTGGATCTTACATTTTCGATTCCTGAAAATTTCCAGCCAATTTCAATTCTTCCAAATAATCTGAAAGTTCAAAAACTTGCCGGACACGAAGACCATAATAATTTTTAGTGAGTTTTGAGAATTCTCAATTTTCTCAAAAGGATTTTGATATTTTTCAGCGGAAAATTTTTCGGTCGACTTGATGGAATTCGACAGCCATGGGAAATCGAACTAAAGTCATTTCCGGGACCAATGAGCATTTATTGTAAAATTTGGAGACGTTCCGAAAAGCCTTGTCGTTTGTATCCGTTTTATTTTGGAGAAGAATAAATAATTTTTTTCTGAAAGTTCTGTATTTCATTCCGGAAACTTTTCTAAAGGTGGTCTAGAATTTTCAGTCTCGGGAATTAAAAAAAAAGATTCTATAGCATTCCAGAAATTTCTGTAAAGGGACAAGATCTGAAAATGTAGAAGTTCAGAAATTCAGAAAGTCAAACATTTTTCTCATTTATACAGTAATCCGAATTTCCCATTCTACAGTAATCCAAACTTAATTTCTGAATTTCCTAGTCTACAGTAATCCGAATTTACCTTTCCACAGTAATCCAAGTCTTCCATATTCAACATAGAAATCCGAATGTCCTTTTCTACAGTAATCCGAATTTTCATATTTTTATAGTAATCCAAATTCATCACAGTAATTTAAACTGAAATTCTGAATTTCCCAGTCTACAGTAATCTAAATTTCCCATCTTACAGAAATTCAACCTTAAAACCATCGTTTAAAGTCTACAGTAATCCAAATTTTTCCATTTTTACAGTAATCAAAATTTCTCATTCTACCGTAACCCAACTTTTAAAGTCTACAGCCATCTAAATTGTTGTTATTCTATAGTAATCCAAATATTCAATTCTACAGTAATCCGAGATTTTTTTTTCATTTTTACAGTAATCCAAATTCATCATTCTACAGTAATCCAAAATGGAAAAGTATTCAGAAATCCTAAAATTCTAAAACTCTCAGATTTTGAACTTCCAAAATCCCATCCCCAAATTCCCATCACTTTCCCATACCTCCATCAGTTTCATACCTAATTTTCTCTCACCTTGTCTAATTATTCAAAAACTTTCAAATGTATATTTGTTCCAAGGCCATACATCTTCCTCTTCTCCCTCTCTCTTCCTGTCACCCTTGATTAGCGTGTGTCCAATGTCTTTTGGGCGCCAATTGTCTTTTTTTTTTGGTCTTCTGTTGTTGCCAATTGTGTTCATTCTCGCGCCTCTTTTTTGAATTTGGGGAGGAAAGGTGAGAAAAGTACAAAAAAGGAGGAGAGGGAAAGTAAATAGTGAGAGAGGGAGGAAGAGGTTTGAATGATTGTGAAAAAAACCGTTCAAATTTTGTTAATGAAATGATGTCACAATTTAGAAATTTTGAGATATTTACCGTACTTTCTCTGATAGAAGCACTCCCTATACACACACACACTTTGAGCCAATTTATCTCGGTTTCTGTGAGAGATATGAAAATGGGATAAACTGACAAAATGTTATTGATATTATGATAAACAATTTGTCTGCTGACAACGTTTTCATACCTTTCACAAAAAACGAGATAAATTAGCTTAAAGTTGATGATAGTCCTTAAACCGTACTTCTCTGATTGAAGCCCACACGCGCACTTTGAGCCAAATCATCTCGTATCTCGGTCCCTCTTAAAGATATCAAAAAATGGTCAACTAATAAATTGTTTATAATAATATCACCAATATTTTACCAGTTGACGCATTTTTGATGTCTCTTATAGGAATCGAGATAATTGAGATCAAAGTGGACGTATAGGGTGGGCTGCTATTGGAGCACGGAACGTTGAATAATTTAATTGTACGATGGACTAGGAATTTCAGTTATGATAAAAATTCGAGAAACGTTTGAGAAGCTTTTAGCAGATCTTAGAAATGTGAATTCCAATTTTATTTTGTGCTCCTTTTGCCCAAAGCATCTCTATTCCATGTTCAAATTCCCCATTCTCTACCATACTTTTCCTATTCTTCTTTTTTCTTCCTCCTCAATCATTTTCCCACATCAAATCTGCATTTTCCTCCTCTTCTCCTTCTTTTTCAAAATGATCTCTCTTTTTTGCGGTAACCAATAATGTTCATGTTTGTCTTCTTCTTCTCCTTTTTCTCCGATTTTATTGGGTCACTTCAGAAAGATGGGCGCCGCGTTGGGTGCGGGTGAAGATTCGGAAATTTTTGGGTTTCCTAGAAAACATTGAGGTGCGAATTTCGCAAGTTCTGTGCTTTGGGGACATCTGGACATTGGGACACTTAGATAGACACAATTAAAATAAATGTACTGTACAGCCTGTAACAGAAGGCCCACTCCGCACTATCAAGTTAGAGCTCAATTATCTCGGCTCCTATAAATGCTCTCAAAAAATTTCAACTGATAAAATGCTTGTGATATAATGATAAACAATTTGTCAGTGGACAACTTTTTCATATATTTCACAGAAAGCGAGATAAACCGGCTGAAAGCTAAAAGTTAAGGGCCCTCTTTGTTGACAGTTATGGCTACCACTTCCGCGTCATTTATCTTTCTCCTGTCCCCCAGAAATGTCATTTCCGTTATTTTAACGGTTCACCTTTAGATCCAGAAAAGAAAACCAGTTTTCCTTGAAAACTGACACATGCCAGTTTCCATTCATCTGGCTCATTAGCTCCATCAAAAGAGAGCCGCCGCCCGTTCCTCTAATACCTGTTCCATTTCCTTCTCTAGAGTCATTAATCACACAGAACTCAAGGGCATAATGTTCCAGCAGCATCCAAAAGTTTGTATAAGATGACTGACACATGCAGCCATTTTTTCTTCGGACAGATTCATTTGAAATAATGGCGCTAAAATCTTCAAAATGTCCTTGGAGATAGATCTTCAGGCGGGAGACTGAAGAACGTAATTCATCTTCATTTTTCACACTGTTCTCGCGCGATTGAGATAAAAAAGTTGAAAGAGGAGGCAATTTGAATTTGAAATATTGACCTCTTTCAAATTGTTAATTGACTCCTACAGTAGGAGTCCACTACTGTAGTTTTTATTGACACGTCATAAACCGCCTCCCTGGGGGAACAGGTGCTTTTGAGATGACATCTGCCATTGGGAGCTTCTGGAGGGGAGACATGGTTGAAGACAGTCGTAAATCTATTATTACCGGATGAATTGGTGATTTGTGACTTGGTGGAGGGGAGAACATAACATTTGGATTTCTCATTTTACAATGTGACTTGTTACAAAAGTATGACAGTTTTCTTATGGCATCATGTGGTAGATGGACAGTCCGTTGGCTGAGATTCTAAAATTCCTAACTTTCGAAATCCTCGATACTTCCAGAATCCGCGATCCAGGACTGCTGATTTCGAGACTTTGAAGGTTCATCTAGGATGCTGGGGCCTCGAAGATTTTCAGATCCTAAAGTTTTTTTAGTTGTGAGATTCTGAGATTCTGAGATTTTAAGATTCTGAGATTCTGAGATTCTGAGATTCTGAGATTCTGAGATTCTGAGATTCTGAGATTTTAAGATTCTGAGATTCTGAGATTCTGAGATTCTGAGATTCTGAGATTCTGAGATTCTAAGATTCTGAGATTCTGAGATTCTGAGATTCTGAGATTCTGAGATTCCTAGATTCTGAGATTCTGAGATTCTGAGATTCTGAGATTCTGAGATTCTGAGATTCTGAGATTCTGAGATTCTGAGATTCTGAGATTCTGAGATTCTGAGATTCTGAGATTCTGAGATTCTGAGATTTTAAGATTCTGAGATTCTGAGATTTTAAGATTCTGAGATTCTGAGATTCTGAGATTTTAAGATTCTGAGATTCTGAGATTCTGAGATTCTGAGATTCTGAGATTCTGAGATTCTGAGATTCTGAGATTCTGAGATTCTGAGATTCTGAGATTCTGAGATTCTGAGATTCTGAGATTCTGAGATTCTGAGATTCTGAGATTCTGAGATTCTGAGATTCTGAGAATCTGAGATTTTAAGATTCTGAGATTTTAAGATTCTGAGATTCTGAGATTCTGAGATTCTGAAATTCTGAGATTCTGAGATTCTGAGATTCTGAGATTCTGAGATTTTAAGATTCTGAGATTCTGAGATTCTGAGATTCTGAGATTCTGAGATTCTGAGATTCTGAGATTCTGAGATTCTGAGATTCTGAGATTCTGAGATTCTGAGATTCTGAGATTCTGAGATTCTGAGATTCTGAGATTCTGAGATTCTGAGATTCTGAGATTCTGAGAATCTGAGATTTTAAGATTCTGAGATTTTAAGATTCTGAGATTCTGAGATTCTGAGATTCTGAGATTCTGAGATTCTGAGATTCTGAGATTCTGAGATTCTGAGATTTTAAGATTCTGAGATTCTGAGATTCTGAGGTTCTGAGATTCTGAGATTCTGAGATTCTGAGATCCTGAGATTCTGAAATTCTGAGATTCTGAGATTCTGAGATTCTGAGATTCCGAGATTCTGAGATTCTGAGATTCTGAGATTCTGAGATTCTGAGATTCTGAGATTCTGAGATTCTGAGAGTCTGAGATTCTGAGATTCTGAGATTATGAGATTCTGAGATTCTGAGAT